ACCTTTAAACAAAAAAAAAAAACAATAAAGATCTAAAGAAATAAGGGAAATTTTATCCAGACCCCACAAAATTAAAAAGAAAAAAGAAAAAAAAAAAAAAAAAAAAAAAAACCGGCAACAACACCCTTAGGGGACCACCTACCACCGAACCGGGGCACTCAACTTCGTCTGCCGCCGCGCTAGGATACGCCGGCGAGAGAAAGACGCGTCGAGGACCCTTTGCGCGCCCCCCGCGAACCTCCGCCACGTGGGACTGCTCAACCGAAGTCCCCCTCGTAGGGCCCGTATCTCACATGCCACCTCCCTCCGCACCGTATTGGGTCATTTTGGTTTGAGCGTCAGTATTTGTCCTTATTGATTAAAGTTTGTATCCGGTTTTATTTTTAATAGCGGGGGCGGCGGCGGCGGAGGGAAGCGTGGGAGAGCGGGGAGAGGACGGATGGAGAGGGCAGGAAATGGAGGCGCAGGAGGAGAGGCGCGGCTGGGCACTACTTCCCCGTCGGGCTGCAGGCCGGCCAGGCCTCCCCGGGCCCTTAGGACAGGGTGCCCCGCGTGGACCGCCCGGCGAGGCGCTGGCGGGCGGCGGAGGGAAGGTCCTCCCCTGGCGCGGGGAGGGGTGCCCCGCACCTTCGCGGGAGGAGGGCCTGGCGAGGTGTGGAAGCGGTGGGATGAGGCGGGGGAAGAGGCCGGCGCGCGGGGCGAAGCCGGGGTTACTTACTTGTTCCCTGCGCCCTGGGCGGCGACAGTCTCGCGGCTGGGGTCGCGCGCCGCCGTGAAGCCGGGCCGGGGGCTCGCGGCGCGCCGGCTGGCGGCGTGCGGGGCCGCCCTAGGAGGGCCCTTTCCGCAGTGCGGGGAGTGCAGAAAAAAACGTAGTGCCCATCTCGAAATAAAACCAGGGAACTAACCATGGGCCCGAGCGTCTCTTCCTTCCCCTTCCGTCCGGCTCCGGGCCGTCGCTCACGCGCCGGGTGACTCGTCGCCGTCTCCTCGCCGCTCCAGTGTCTCCTCCGCTTCTGATCCGGCTGGGAAGCGAGTAGGCGCTTGCGAATCACCCTGGAAATGTTTTCATTTCGCTTGTTGACATTGGAGGGAAAATAAGGATGGGCGTCTATTTCTTTCCGGTTTTTTTAAAGCCTTCCTATTTTCACTCTTCTCTTTCCTTTTCTGACATGCTTTTCATTGGGGCGAGCCTTCACCCCGAAATAACCGCGCGCGGAAGCAGCCCTTTCCCCCTCTTCATGCTGCTGGAAGGCGCCTAGGAGCTTCGGGAGTGTGCACCCCACCATCCCAGCCTCTTGGGCACTGGGGCTGGGAGGTGCGGCTGAGGGCTGAAGTGAGAGGGGAGATGGGGATTCGGGGGCTTTAAAAGGATCCCGTGGCCAGGGGCAGGGCTAAGGCCCGGCATTTCCCAGGGATTGGAATTTGGTTCGGAGCACACTGATCAAAGGCTGTTTCATCCCACATGGGCACGAAACATGCCCCTTCTACGGAGGACGTAGGCTGAGAGGAGAGGGAGGTGGAGGCGAAGTATAAATGAAAAAGCACCTTTCCCCCCCCCCCCCTCCTCTGTAAGGTAAAGAACCGTAAAGTGTAAACATCACTTTGAGGAGCTCTCAGATAATCTGGCAGATGTGGCATTTAAGAAAACGAAGGAAGAATAAAACGATGTGGTGTGAAATTTCAGTTCTAATGTAAAGAATGCAATTAATGAACGCTCAGGGTCAGAGGGAGTCTCCACTCTTGGCACCCCACCCTCACCTTGAGATTCTGAATCAACTCTGAAGGGAAAAGTAGACAATTACAAAATTGGTAGTGATTTCTAAGTATGTTTCTATTAGGAATGCCATAAAGGAGCTTTGGGCATTGGACTAACCTTAACTATCCTTCCACTGTATGTATGTATTTTCCCCCAACCCCAATATCTACATATTTTCTTACTTTAAAACAAACTATATTTACACGTGAGGTTTCAGCTATCAACGTTGATAGTGACAGGGCCCCCAACATTGACTTCTAAGCTCAGATGTCGTACAGGAGCCCGGTGAGCTAGTGGGCTTTTTGGACCAGGCTGGAGAGATCTCTGGGCCTTGGTTTTCCTGCTCACTTTTCCTCCTCCCACTCTTCTCCCCTCCTCAGGCTTGTTATTCCTACTTTTCCTCAACTGGCTTTCCTCCCTCCTCCCCTCTGCCACCTCCCTCCTCACTCCCCCACCCCTTCTCCTCCGTTTCTCTCCCTCTCTCCATTCCTCCACCTACTCCCCGTTTCTCTCCCCCTCCCACAGCCCCCCTTCCCAGCGCCACTTATAATGGCACACAAGGGCTCCCTCTGAGGTGGACGCCCGGTACGTTTTCGTAGTCGGTCTAGCGTGAAATGATTCGGTGTAACCGGATTCTTGGGAAAGGACAGGTTACGTAAACATTTACTGATGTGGAGTAACTATACTATTTGTACTCTGATATGCAGGAAGGAAAGTGTTGATTAACACAGAAGAAAAAAAAAGCGAAATTAGCTGATTGCATGCTCATAAGTGCAAGCTGTCATTGAACTGCTTTTAAAATAGACACAGCTGGGTGTTTGTGTTGAAAAATTTCTTGTGTTTTTGCTAATACTGAAATAAGCATGATTTTGTATACCAAACATTTTCAGATCATTAAAATTTGTAATCTGTGCTGGTTTTAAACACAAAGAAAAGAAACAGAATCATTTCGATGTAAAATTTGCTGATATTATATTAACTCAATCAGGTCTGTACAAATTGTGCATTGTGCTTCCTAAAATCTGTTTGATCAATTTAATACACAAAGTGCCAAACGTGGGTATTGTTTGTTAACATTGGGCATTTTATTCAAATCCAAGCTCAGCAGCAAAGTGGAGGAGCATTCCTTGAATACAACCACCAGCCCTGACTGATGAATTTTTAATGTTTGAAGGTGTTTCTTAGGTCAAAGCTGAGTGTGCATTGTTTTTGTAATCCTGCATGAAATTTTAGCAGGTGGAAATAAGTTTTTCTTCTGTTTACTTTCAAACAGCAAAAACTGGAGTCTGCTAATGAGAGCTGTAATAATCTGATTTTATGTGCCAGGAGCTTATATTGACTGGAAAAATGTTTTGCATGCATATTAAGAATGTGTTATATTATTTTAAGGATTGCATGAGTGCAAGTCTCCCAAAATAGGATATTTGTGTAGGAATACATAGATTGTAGTTTACTATGATCATATTAAAGATCTGGGCTCCCTAATGAAAAAGGTCATTTGCAATTTTGGGTGAAGTGAGCTTGAGTTCCTGTTAATAATTTTAATTGGACTTTGTAGTGAGATAGAGTGCCATATATAGGTGTGGGGGTAGGCTTGTTGAACAAAACATGCACTGTTTACCCAGCAGCCCACATTTGTCTCAGCAATGGCTTCTTTTTAGAACTGCTACTAGATGGAATGGAGGGGGAGGGGGTTCTTGGACAGAGTATTTTGCAAGTTGAAAGTCCCTGGATGAAGCTTTGTCTATCTTACTGAACAATTTGGGTGCAAACTGGATTTGAGGGACTGCCCATGTCCACTTCGGGCTTCTTTCCTAAACACACGAAGCCCTGACTTCGTATTTCCACCTCACTCGGTCAGGGTGATTGTTGTCAAAAGACAAAGGGC